GGATCACAAATGGGCTCAGGGAATGCTGAGCTGCTCCAGAGCATGGAATTCCCAGCTGGAATCAGCCCTGGGCACCCCTGAGCCTGGCTCAGCTCCCACAGCCACGGGTGGGATGAGCCTTGCACACAAACCCCACTGGGAATGGATTCTCCAGCCCCGTCCCTGCTGGGATGGGATTGTTGGAGCCAGGGAATCCTTGGGGTGGGAAAGATTTCCAGGATGGAATCCAACCATTCCCAGCCCTGCCAGGCCACCCCTGTCCCCAAGTGCCACATCCACAGGGGTTTAAATCCCCCCAGGAATGGGATCTCCAGCCCTGTGCCAAGATTGGACAAACCTTTCCAGGAGGAATTTTCCCCAAAATCCAGCCTGAGGCCATTCCCTCTGCTCCTGTCCCTGTTCCCTGGAGCACAGCCCGACCCCCCGGCTGTCCCCTCCTGGCAGGGACTTGTGCAGAGCCACAAGGTCCCCCTGAGCCTCCTTGGCTCCAGCTCAGCCCCTTCCCAGCTCCCTCAGCTTTTCCTGGTTTTCCAGACTATTCCCAGTTCCGTTCTCACTCTCCAGCCCCTCACCACGCTCTCCTTTCCCACTTTTTGGGCTCTCCAGGGAGCTGTTCCCTCACCAAGAGCAATGTTCATTCTCCTCAGGAAAGCCCTACTGACTGAAGGGATTTGCACAAAATCATCCGCGATGCAAACGGTGTCGAATTCCAGGCCCTTGGCTTGGTGCACGGTCCCGATGAGAAAATCTGGGAAAATCAAGGAAAAAGGGTCAGCCTTGGCAGCAGTGATGGTATTTTTTGTTTCCTTTCATTCTGCATCCATTCCCCTTCTGCCAGAGTTAAATCAGGAGCAAAGCTCCTCCGTGGGGAATCCAGATGGATGAAGGGAATTTCTACCAAGGGAAATTCCTGGTTGGTATCCCGAGCTCCAGCCACATTCCCAAACAGGAATGCTGAGTATTTGAGGAATTTTCTCTCCCCAGATTCCAACAGGAATCCTAAATGGGAAGGGCTCCACTTTCTACTATC